ACCTTAGAGGTGCAACAATTTGTTGCTATTAAAATAACATTAATTTTTCTCTATATGTTAAATATTTATTAGAAAGTTCACTTGTAGCATCTCCATATTGAATGAAATTTGTGCATTTTTTTTTTTAGGTTTGTGACTCCTTGAGCCATTCACAAAGCATCTGATTAGTGCTACACTGCTGCAGGCAGACGGGTTCCTGCAGAACCACAGCCAGTTCTCTGAAGCAGCACTGAAGACCATGGAGGCTTACCCAATGCTGAACAGGACCAAGAAGTCTGATCTAGTTCAGGAGCTGCAGTGGTGTTGTGGCTCTGTACCAGCTCTTCATGGAGAACAATCTGCACCTTCAGAGACTGTGACTCTGCTGAAGATTCTCATCACATCTCCTCTGACCACAGCTGAATCTAAGAGGAGCTTCTCGACACTGAAGAGAATCCAGACTTTCCTCAGGTACAACATCACATCTCACWGCACTGACTATGATATATACAGAAGAATCTGGTTTAAACATCCCTGACTTTAACCAAAGTCATGAAGAAATTTGCTTCTCGGTTACAGAAGAGCAAAATTTATGTACTAAAAATAAGAACTACATGACTGTTTTATTATTTGGATTTGTTTAGTAAAAACACTGGCATGAAACAACTTAGTACAAGTTTGATTGTTTTTTGAGACACGTCTATTTTTGAGTTGTAGCACCCACCCCGGAGAAAAATCCATCCACCGCTACTGCATGCAGTGTGTTCAGATAGTATCTTCTTTTGCTTTTTTCTGTCGGGACTGTTAGCAAAATGCAKTTAAAGACGCAGACATAGGAATACACGTTTTAAATGAAAGCACATGACATAAAACGTAACACCATGGTTACGACGGGGCAGTGCAAACATACCTCATCTGAAGCCTAGACTGCCTCATTTCACAGCCTCATTACACAACCTACAATCACTTGATTACTGTGAGTACCTCAAAAGGTTGTGCAACTACGTATTAAGTTAAGCGTACCATTCTTTTTGTCCGGTTTCATTAGTTTCTTTTTATAAAATAATCTGGTTAAAGCAATATTTAAATGCAATGTTTGAATTACATTTGTTTATTCCTAATATTTTTATAACATTTGTCAGTTAATTTTTTAGTGACTTTTAGGGTTTGCTTTCTTTAACAATGGAATACAAATAAATTGATCCTTATTTGTACATTCATAAGAGATTCAATAAAATATGTCCAGTGGTTATTTAGATATTTTGCAAAAAAAATAAAAAATAAAAATAAACGGAAAAATAAATGAACATTGTCATGAGAAAAACATTACAGTTGACATGTGATCCTACAAACCTTGACATAATAGGTGGTGAGGATGCGCCTCAGATCAAACACCTGCAGCATGGAGGCGGCGCTGTTGTCAGTGATGYTGTATCCTTCCAGAACATACTTGGTGACCAGAACCTCCCAGGCCAGCCAGCGCTGCCCAAACGCAGCGTTGAATGACAGGCTGTGAGGAAGATGGCCCGGTTCGCAGCAGCAGCAACCCTCATCTTCCTCCACGCCTTCAGTGATGGCCTCCACTTCTCTCTGCTGACAGTAGGTTCCTGAGGTGGGAATAAAACACTTTTTTTTTCAACTTTATTGGAATTGAGGTTGAACATTATTATGATTACTCTTTAAGAGTTTCATTAAATTCCATTCATGGTTCATGAGATATTTTGTRAACAGACACAGGCAAAAACATTATGGTCCACCTTTGGTGATAAAGATGAGCCGTTCAAAACCGTGTCAGATTTAGAGAAAAAGTTGCTGACATGTTGGTGATGAGTGTCATGCTTCAACTGTAAAAATTTTATAGAATCACAAGCTAAGACAGATGCCTCTGAACTACAYAACCCAATCGTCTTCATAAACTCAGTCAGGTGTGTTTTCCACAAAGATAAACCACAAACAATCTCTTGTAGCAGAACACAGTTTTCAAAGATTCCAGAACAACTGCCTAATAAATAAATGGCYTATTCATTTATTTTATCTTTAACAACAAGTCCAAACCAAAACTCCAAAACAAAAACGTGATTATTAACATAATTTTATTTTTTTATTGTAACTTGTAAAAGCTATGCCCTCCAGTAGGCCAGGCTGTATTACAATTTAACTTTCAATGTGACAAAGAATCGAAAAACAAACATCTTTAAAGAAAACTTTAAACCAGGAGAGTTAGCTGCACAGGATGACGTGTTGTCTTTGGCTGCCTCCGCCTCTCACTTCAGGAATTGGTTCACTCTCCTTATCTCAGAACGCAGCTAGTGGGTCAGGTGACAGCCCCATAAAGAACATCATGGGTATAGCCCTGAGGCAGCAACAGTTGGATGTTCCGCAGGGGAGGAAATCTGCTTCTGGAAGTGCCTTTTTTAAAGTGCATCTTACCCACTGTGAAAAGATAACTCCGCCCCAAGGCGAAATTTGAAAAATGCATCAAAGTGGGTAGGGGAGGGGGTGTGGG